CTATCTATCTATCTATCTATCTATTTATCTATATATCGATATAGTAACAATTAGTATCTCGAAATATTTGGTAACAATATATCTCTTAGATGCATATCTCTTTTGCTATCTTTCCATTTTTCAATAATTCTATCTTCACCTTTATCAACCTATTATTATAAACATATTCGCCTCTCCTTCCAGCCATCCAGAAATCCATTTATCTTCCTATCTATCAATATTTCTATCTATTAATCTAACTATCTATCTTTCTCTCTATTTATTTATCTTTCTATCTATCTATCTATTCATTTATCATCTTTCATCACCACCTCCGTCTAATATTTACTTTTCTGTATGTCAGTTGGCTTGTTAAAAAAAATTTATAATTGAAAAAAAACTCTGTTGGTATTTTGAGATGGAAAGTAAGGAATTGAGTCTTTGCCACAAACTCTGATTTTCTAATTTCTATATCTTTGCAACTCAATGTCGTAGACCTTAGATATTTCAAACTATAAACTGTTATATATCAAATAATCAAGGTTAAAATATTAAAGATTGCAAAGATATAGGGATTAGAAAATTTAAGTCTGTGGCAAAAACTCAATTCCTTTGAAATTGGTTAATGCTGAAATGAGCTGTGAATTGTGGAAGATATGAATTTTGGATATTTAGTTGAACCAGCCTTTCCTAGTTTAGTTAGCACTCTAGTATGCCGAGTCCATTAGCGCCTGATCCAATCAGGGTTCAGCCATGTGTTTGATGTCTATTCTAAACCAATGGAAATTGTATGGCGGTAACAAATATCTTTCTATCTATCCCATTACCCAATAAGAGATAAATCCTTATTGCGGCGCTCTAACTAAACGCAATTATTTTCTTCTACTGAAGCTATGGTGATAATTTATACGGTTGAAATTGGTTAATGCTGAAATGAGCTAAGAATTGTGGAAGACATGAATTTTGGATATTTAGTTGAACCAGCTTTTTCTAGTTTAGTTATCTCTCTCTCATTCATGAATATATATGTAAAGATTGATGGATAAAATTTGAAGAGTTTTGGCCGCTTCATTTTTTTCTTTGCTTTCATCTTTGAAATTGCAACATCAGTAAATAGCATTTAATTTATCAAAGAAATGTCGTTACTTGAAGCAATGGATTAAATATTTCTATACCAACTAAAATGAATCACAGGAAGATGAAGAATCAGCTTTCTTAGCTTCAACAGCTTTCTTGGGAGCCTTATCTTCTAAATCTGAATCATTGGAAGATTAAGAACCAGCTTTCTTAGATTCAACAGCTTTCTTAGGGAACATCATTTTCTAAATGTAAATCATTGGAAGATTAAGAACCAGATTTCTTAGCAACAACAGCTTTCTTGTGAGCATCATCTTCTAAATGTGAATCATTGGAAGATTAAGAACCAGCTTTCTTAGCAACAACAGCTTCCTTGTGAGCATCATCTTCATAATCTGAATCATTGGAAGATTAAGAATCAGCTTTCTTAGCAACAACAGCTTTCTTGTGAGCATCATCTTCATAATCTGAATCATTGGAAGATTAAGAATTAGCTTTCTTATAGCTGTTGTTGTAGCTAAGAAAGCTGATCCTTTTTTAAGCCTCTAAATAGTTAAGAAGTTTAAAATTTCAGTGATTCTTATACAAGGTCACAAAGTTGTGCCAGTAATTTTACATAAATATTTTCTTGTGTCTAAATATATATATATATATATACTTTATTCATTTACCGAGCTCAGTTCCTGCAATTCTTTGCGATTTCTTAGAAATATTTTGTAAAAGAAAAACCTCCCACACTTTTCCACTTTTTAATTATCAAGCTGAATATGTAATTATCTCGTCAAATTTAACAGTGCCCGTGCACAGTGTAGTATAGTCCTCTAAAGCACTCAACACTCTTAGAATCCATAATATCTTTTTCAACCTGTCGCAGAATTTTGTTAGAATTTTGTTAGATCAAATAATCTAAGTTTGAAATACATACGGTCTACGACATTGGGTTGCAAAGATAAGTATTGGAAAATTTGAGTTTGTGGCAAAGACTCTATTCCTTTAACCCATAACAACACTATTGTTGGGCCGTTTAAGTAACTGAACACTTTATAATCAGCTTATATTTTTGCAACCTATAATGCTATAGCAGAATTTGTTTTTATTTTGTTCGAACAAATAATCAAAGTTTGAAATACCTATGGTCTACGACATTGGGTTTGGGTAGCAAAAATGAGAATTAAATTTTTTTCATAAATGGAATTATTCTTTTTAATATGTCTTACTTTTAAGAAAAAATTTGTTAGTCTTTCCCCCCTAATTATTGTTTGAATTTCAAATTGGGAAAAAAACTCAAAATATTTTCAATCTGAGCCCAAACCCTCCTCTGCCAATCAAGTTAACGCCGAGGGGCAGTGGCAATGACAGGCTAGATATTGATGAACCAAAACCTACACTATAGGTTTCAAAGGAATTTATGTATTTTCAAAGTTGGGGTCTGCTGCACGCACCTCTGCCCCTCTAGTAAAAGTAAATTCAACCTATATGAAGCATAAAGTCTGACCGCGTCAACCTTTTTGCACCGGCTATTCCTGTCCATAGAGCTAGGTACAGTACTAACTGGGACCGGAAAGGTTGACCCGGCTCGGAAATTTAAATGTACTACGGCTGTCTGTGAGTGATCCCTTCCACGCTGAACAACGTAAAAGAGACTGTTGGCAAATTTTCAAGTGACACTTTTTATAAAAGTCTACCTGCACAGTTTACAATGGTACCCTTTAAGCCTTTGATGGTGGAGATTTTTATGTTTTTCGATCTAAAATTTACAATTTTTACATTTAGTGCCTTGCCCACAAGCAAAAGTTTGTGGAGTTAAACATTTGGCTGGAGAATATTTTTTTCTTATTTTAGAAAAATTAAACTTTTTTGTAAAACATTGCATAGCTTATCATTATCATTATTATTATTATTGTATTTTTTTTAACATACCCTAGACATTCAAGAACAAAATAGTTTAATGACTATCAAAATGTTGGTATTTGCTTTCCCTGTGCTCAGTTTTTGCTTGGAATATGCATCAATTTTCGCTCGCAATTTGGACATTTTTTCCGCATTTTTTGCTGTATCTTTTGTGTCAAACAGATTTTTCCGGAATTCCACGAAAAATGCGGAAATTTGCTCCTTTTTGCGCATGGAAGTGCAAAAAATGCTGAATTTGTGGCGGAATATAAAATGCGGAATCTGCGCGCAATGATTTTTCCATTCTACTGGAAACCCTTAAATGTACTCTTCCTATTCCACAGCTTTCTGGTTCCCACTGTATTCATTTGTTAAATAAATATTGATTGATTGAAATATCAAAGGTTTACACCACCAGGTTGCAAAGGGTTTTAAAATTAGAAAGTTAGAGTTTGACACGAGTGATCAATTATTCTGGAATCATAAACCATGCAGTGTTCCATTTCAACATTATATAAAAATACTTAAATCTAAAAATCATCTAAATCTATACACTAATCCTATAATGCCAAATTTCCATTAGTTTTATCTATATTATCCATAACACGCTCAATTGTTTTAGGGGTGGCCTACATTTCCAAAAAAGCTATATATACAGTGTATATATACTGATGTAATAAAAAAATCAAATATTTTAATGCCGCGCATTACAAAGTTCACACAGTAATTATTGAATTGTAAAAACGAACGCATTTCCCTAAAAAGGAATCGAGTTTTTTTACATGATTGTATTATAATCCCTATCTTTGGAACCAGATGGTGTAAATCATATTATATTTCAAATTTAGACTAACATGATTTATATAGTTTGAAATATCCAAGGTCTACAACGTCAGATTGCAAAGATATATATAGAGATTTAAAAGTCAGCGATTTTTGCAAAAACTCAGTTCCTCTCAGATTTTCAGAAACATTTTTATAACCTAAAACCTTTTTATAATCTAAAACCAACCAGATTTCTTAAAAGGACTGTATGCGCCATTTCAAGTGACCCTCCATGCAAAGATGATAATGCCTGATTTGCAAAGGTGCCCTTGAGACCTTGAATCCTTTATCTGTTATAAAAGAGTGGAAGATACCGTCATTTGTCTGACTCGAAAAGTGATTATTTTTGCGAGTTTCTCCAATGCTTCCTATAAACAAGAAATGCGTAAGTCACTTTTGCAAAGAACCCGCAAATGAAAATAAACATTTAAAGAAACACAAAAAACTTGAAACTACGCGAACAGTCTCTTTAAATCCCATTTTATATCTCTTAAGACCAATCAGAAGTCAATAAAACTTGCATAAGGGAAAAAGATCATGAAAATACGATCAGCTGTTTATTTTCTTCTTAATCAGCTTAATTGCTTCCTACCTCTAATAATCTAATAATCGTATTTGTGGTTTAAAAATTTACAAAGTTTTTGCCACAAATTTAAATTTTTTAAACCCAATATCTTTGCAAATTGAAACTAAACGTTGTCTGAAAACCTTTGATGACATTTCAAACTTGAAACTAAGACTATTTAATTTAACAGATTCATAGTTTGAAGTAGCAAAGGTCTAAGACATCAAGTTGCAAAGATATAAGAAGAAGGAAATCAATTAAAACACAAAAGTCAACTCAAAAAATTTAATCTTATGACTCTGTACTGCACTTCTTAAAGATAAGGAATCGTAAGATTAACCAATTATTTTGCAGAATGCATTTCTCTGCATTTTTGCGTGGAAATGTTCAGGTTTTTTTAATTGCAATTTATCATAAATAAACCTTAACTGTGATGAAAGTGATTCGAAATAAACGAAATGGTTTAAAACAACAAATTCCTTGTCTTTGTAAATATATTACTCAAAGTTTTCAAAATTCTAAAAAAAATTCAGTTAAAGTTTGAAATATCAAAATAATAGGTTGCAAAAATATAGAAACGAGAAGTCAATGAATTATAAATGAGACCATGTCTTGATAATTAGAATCTGTGGTTTTCATTTGTTTAAAACACACATTGTTTTAAGATATAAACATATGAATATATTTAAAATTGATAAACTTTAAAACAGTTAAATTCTCATGATTAAATCACAACAGAAATACTTTTCAGGAACTGTAGGTAGCAATAGTTGAAGTAAATCCTCATCACAGACGATTATATTTTATTTCATTGATATTCAGACGTTGTTTCTTGCAGCGTTGAACTTACCAGAGATATCTCTAGGTATATTCTTTAGTTGCAAAGTGGTTTGATAACACTCCACTAATTGAGTGGAGTCCATCAACCCATCATCTGAACTGTTGCAAACTTATTAAAATGCACTTTTCTGTTTTCTGGCGAGACAGAATTCCGATCAGGCGGAAATACTTTTATTTCTGGCGAAGGGTTACCCTGTTTTTTCAGATTGGATTTAAGCGCCATCTCTGGTTGGTCGGAGGCCGTTGGGATTCTAATTTCTCCTTTCCTACCCATCCTGCTCCGCATTGCCACGCCAAATTCTCGAAAAATTCTTGTAAATCCTGTTTCCGAACCCGGGTTGGGATCAGACAGCCGTGCATTGGGTCTGCGAGCAGGGCTCTTACTCTGAGCTCTTCTCCGAAGATCAGGATCAATCCTAGATCTATCCCTACTCCGGGTCCTCTCCTGAGCAGGTGGTTGCTGCTGTCTCCACTGCTGCTCCTGGCTAAATTTCCACAGGTCGAGTTGGGTCAACTCAGCCGGCATACGGTTCCAGTTTACCTGGACTGGGTAGATAGGTAGGGAGTGGGGCTGAGGGCTCATACCAAGGGGTACAAACCGTCCGCTGAATATCGGAGGACTTTCTTTGGGGTAAAGTTTTTTCGGAGGTTCTTTTCCAGTTTTTGTCGGAATGAGAATACGGTTGTTTTCATCTTTCTTGGTAACTGGTGAATCTTTTTGTTTGTTTCTGGTTGGATTTTCAGGTTGGTTTATCAGAGATTGGGTTCTCCCGTCATCTTTTCTCTCCGATCCCTCCCCAGGCTGTCGTGATGGGTTGAGACGTGGAGAATCAATCTTGAGAACAGGTAACGGGTTCTCCAGTTGGGGCCCACGGGGTGGAGAAGATATTCCGATAACAGAGTTGGAGGATTTCGACCAAACCTTACGGTTCTCCTCCTCCGCCTCCGCCTTTGCCCAAATTCGATGCGCCTTCTCCTCAAACTCATCTAACTTACGGATGAGCAGGGCAGGCGCGCGCTGTCTCAAGGATAAAGACTCCCCATGTGGTCTGCTCCTGCTCCCAGATATTACATCTCCATCCTTCCTATCTCCAGACCCTAGTTCATCCCGTCTCTTAATCTCAGTGGATAGAATACTCTCCAGTTCTTTGGCAAACTTACTCTTCTCCGTCTTAGTCCCGGAGTTCCGGGCAATACCTCGTGCTGAGAACTTAGGTGGAGAGAAGCTGAGTAAACTTCGTGGTTCTGTTGAATCCCGTTGTCTGACTAGATGTGTTGGTAGAGAGGATTCAACCTCAATATGGGTAACTCCATTCTTATCTGTATGCTGAACAAGATTCCATTTTGGTGGATTTTCTATATCATCAGTTTCCAGCTCCGTCTTTAATACATTCCCTCGCTCCTCGCTCTTCTGGATCAAGTTGGAAAGATCCGACGATTTTGTGATTATACTTCCGCCGTCGCTTTTACGGCGTCGATGTCTCTCAAGCTTGGATCGTTTACTGACCTCGTGGAACTTTCTGTAGAGTTGACGGGCTGAGTCCTCGGACCCAGCCTCGAATACTAATGCCTCTAGATTTCCTGACCTCCTTATCACCCAAATAACACAATTTTTATAAAGTTTATCTGTATGACAAATGAGAACATCACTAATGGAGTATGTATCCATATGGTCGAATTTATACTTCTGAAGCTCCGCCGTGGGAGTGGCGGAGGCGGAGCTGGTGGAGGAACCGGTTTTATTATGATCACTGGTCTCAGAGTCTGATCCGCCACTGTAGGAATCCTCTCCTGTATCCAACAATATTAATAGTATTTTTATCTTTCAATTGACAAATAGAAAGAAAGTCTCTATTTTAAATATAACATTTTTTTGATAAGGAAAAAATTTCAAAAACATCTATAAAATGTTAAATCTCAAATTGCAAAGATCGTCCTTATTTGTTGTATTTTGAAGAAAATCCGATTTCAAAGAAATTAAGTCTTTGCCACAGTATCAAATGTTCTAATCCCCATATCTTTGCAATCTGATGGTGTAATGTCGAACTTAGATTAGCTTGTCTAACAAATTTCATAGTTGTAAATATCTAAGATTTTACACATTAAATTGCAAAGATATTTGGATTGAAAAATAAGAGTTTGTGGCAAAGATTCAATTCGTAAGTCTCTAATCCTCGTTTTTGGTATATCCTATAATATCAAACTAATAATATTTCCCTGATTCGTTAAATCTGAAAACATGATCCTTGATGATCTTCTCTTCTCCGGATACACTCTTCTCCTCCGCGCCCAACCCGGCTCCGGGTTCAAGAGATTTAGCGGACTCTGTGTCCGATTCAAACCCTTCATCCTTCTTGATAAAAGTGACGAGAAGGTTCCTCTCACTGAACTCTAGGTTGCATCTCAACTCCTCATGGTGCTGCTTAACCTTAGACTCCTGGTACAGAGAGGAGACTACTCCGGAGAGACGATAATCGTTAAGAGGTCCGTCCACAGGGCTCCTTCCTACAAACCTTGCATTACACAGGAACTTGGAGTCACCCATCCTTAGGTTTGGTTGAATCAGGGTAGCTCCGGATCACTTTGAATTAGATTTGAACAGGTCATCTTGGAGACTTGAAACTTACAAGGTTCATTTTTGCATTTTTAGCACGGTCTAGTTTTAGCAAGGATGCAGTGTAGGGTCAGTCTGGTTTCAATGTCAGACAGACTGCCCACCCTCCTTGGTGCATCCAGGACCCGGAGAAAGTTTTTATAAAACCTTTGACTCGGAACTATGGGTCTGAGTATCCAGGTCGATCCCTATAGTCCAGGAATATCGGATTATCCAGGAACTGTTCTTGAGTGCTCTATCACGAACCTTTCCTCTCTCTCCTCCACACACCTGAAACACAGAGAGAGAATAAAATTCTAAGTTTAAATATTGGTTTGCAGTGTATGGTTGAGGTGCCTAGCTAAGGTTTGGCATGGTACGCTGCTGCGCTGCGGGGAGCTAGGCATCAATCACAAGACGCCCTCAAACATCCCCCCGAACACACGCACTCACACAAATGGGAATTGAAGGAGGCACAATGCTAAATGGAATCCAGGTTTGGATAGAGATTGCTCTGGGTTCCTATTCAACCTTAGATTCTATTCATACAATTCTAATAGTTGAGTATACAAGGAGAAATTGGGAGTTGAACCCGTCCCAAAGTATATATATTATTATGCATTATTAGCTGAAAATACGCCCTAACCCCATTCCCTTCCACCCCCCACACCTTTCAATACCTTAATTATAAAGGTGTTGCCCCTTCTTCATACTTATCTTTCTTCATTTGTTTGATTTATGTCGCGGATTTTCCAAACTAAGAATTCTGCCAGATCAAATGGTCAAGTTTTAAATACCAAAGGTTTACACCATCCGGCTGCGAGGATATAGGGAATAGAAAATTATAGCTTGGGGCAATGCTCAGTTGTGTTATCATTGCTATGGTCCTATATAATCACTCTGAAAGGAATTGAGTCTTTGCCACGAATTCTTATCCCTATATCTTTGCAACCCATGATATCGAGGACCTTTGATATTTAAAATTATAAATTCGGAGCTGGGAACTTTAGAATGGTGGATATCGGGATTAATGCTTGATCCACTCTTTTTCTTAATCTCCAGATTAAATATTGCTTGTTGTTCTTATGAGTTTAATCTCCAGAATAATTAACAGATCGGGATTAAGGATATCACATTCTAAAGTTTTCAGCTCTGTCAGATTACAAAAATGTGGGGATTAGAAAATATTTGTTTGTGGCAAAGGATCAATTCTTTTGATCCTCGTTTATAAATTCGATATGATATCAGTCTTGATCCATATTTACAGATTTCTACTAAGTTAATCTGATCCTATCGTTAATTATTAATTTAATCCTCCGGCTGTTGATTATCATTAACTGATCCTCCCGCTAATTATCCCTGGGTTTGAAAATTTAATTATTATAATGATGAACCTTTATGTATGGTTACCATATATACAACCTTATACAACCTTTACACACCACTAATAGATTTATATACACCAATACAAACTTATAACACTGATATATCTTCTTAAAACTTATACATGTACATGTGAGGACCCATCAAATTGTGGAAAAGGAAGGTTTCAAAGACATAGGGATTAATAAAATTGCCTTTTGTTTAGCTCCTTCATTTATATCTAGCTGGACATTAAGTAGCAACAGATGGAAGTTATAATCGCACTGGAGATAGTTTAGTAAGAAAATATGAATATACATCATTTTTGCTAAAGGGACAGACGTGATGTCCGATTCACAATGGTACCCTTTAAACCTCTATCTGAGTAACAATAAGAAAGATATCGTCGTTTTCTATATTTAAACGTGTTGAATTCTGACAATTTACTTGTATATGTTTTGCAATTTTAGAAAATAAAACATCAATTTAAAATATGGAAAATATTACATTTATTCATCCTTGAAAAGACAAAGGTTTAAAGTTTGTTTAGAGGGTAGAGTTCTAAATCAGACATTTATACCACTTCGAAACTCTCTTTAAATGTATAGATAAATGCATAAATAGATATATATCAATATATAGAGCATGGATGGGTAATGGGTACAAGTATTGTTAAATGGTTACAAGTATCATTAGAAATATGGTTAAAAATATTGATGCATGGATAGAAATATGGAGATGGTTAAAATATTGATGCATGGATAGAAATATGGAGATGGTTAAAATATTGATGCATGGATAGAAATATGGAGATGGTTAAAATATTGATGCATGGATAGAAATATGGATATGGTTATAATATTGATAAATGGATAAAATAATGAATATGGTTAAAATATTGATAAATGGATAGAAATAATGGATTGTCAAGTATTTGAATAGATTGATAGATAGTGACGAGACCACATATCATTAGAGGCATTGAAAACATTTTGCATAGTTTGGGTTGATCCAGGCACTATAGAGATAGATAGAGTTTATATCCTTTAAACTAATGTCCACGACATAACTAGATAATTTAGACTCCGGTTCATAGCACCGGGCCAACTTTTAACCAACTAAAATATGTTGTACAGTACAATTTGCAGACTATGCAAGGCAAAGAGGGACAGTACGCCAAATAAATAATCTCCTTCTAGTGAAATTTATGTGACTAGGCTTTTAGGGCGCTTCGCCCCTATCTTCTTTTTAAACTTTTAATTGTGGATTTATCTGTGAGCATCTTCTCTTTGTACAGTATATAAAATTAAAATTTCAAACTTTTCTAAGATGCCCGGAAGAATAAAGCAGTTAAAGCTTGATTTGAAAACAGCCCTTAGGACATTATGCTGATAAATATCAACTTGAATTGATTGTTTAATGCTTAGATTTAGGTTCCTATAAATAATACAATGATACAATTGCTAGGAAATAATATAATAAAATAGATAGATAGATAGATAGATAGATAGATAGATAGATAGATAGATAGATAGATATATTGATGAATAGATAAGGGAGATCATAGACACAAAAGTTGAGAAAAGGTAAGTTTGCACAGATTTCCAGAAAATGGTCAGATACGAATACGACCAACCATTGAAGAATGAAAAATATTAAAAGATGAATAGATAATCTGACAATTAAATAGACAGTAAGATGGATAGATCCAGATAGAGTTAGATAGTTAGATAGATAGAAAGATAGATAGATAGATAGATAGAAAGATAGATAGATAGATTGATAGATAGATAGATAGATAGATAGATAGATTTGGTGGATATATAATGTATAACACCAACAGCTGGATAGCAGGATGGAAAAAGGCCCTTAGGGATATCTAGACTCACAGGCAACTTAGAGAAATAGATAGATAGATAGACAGAAAAATAGATAGATTGATAAATAGATAAATAGATAAACAGAGAGATATAAACAAAATAATGGATAAAACAGTAAAAGAAATGTGGCACAAAGCGCTCTAAATTTCTGGTATATTAATCAATACCATCTTTAAACTAATTTTATTCCCACCATTAAACTTCAAATGTTGATGATAAACAGATATTTAGAATAGAAGCAATACGTTATACAGATATAACACTTTAGACAGATACAACACTTTATACAGATACAACACTTTAGACAGATACAACACTTTATACAGATACAACACTTTAGACAGATACAACACTTTATACTGATACAACACTTTAGACAGATACAACACTTTAGACAGATACAACACTTTAGACAGATTCAACACTTTAGACAGATTCAACACTTTAGACAGATACAACACATTTAGACAGATACAACACTTTAGACAGATACCACACTTTAGACAGATACAACACTTTAGACAGTTACATTACTTTAGACAGATAGAATACTTTGAACAAAATACACTTTTTATACAGGAGCAGCCGTAGTACATTAAAATTTCCGAGCCGGGTCCCTTTCCGGCCCCAGTTTGTACTGTATCGCCTGGACATTGGGTAAATAAAGCAGACACTCAATAAGACTAGCCGGTGCAACAAGGTTGACGCGGTCACACTTTAGGTTGAATTTACTTTTACTAAAGGGTCAGAGGTGCGTGTATATTGGGATTGGAGTGATTATATTATATGTTTGTATAATGAATAAAAAGTTTGATATGTTTAAAGATTTCAAGATTGATAATTTGTTGGGCAAAATTCTCTTGTCCTTTTACAACTCTACACTTCAAATAGAGACCGACAAGGCATATATATATACATATAGAGATAGCTAGATAGATAGATTTAGATATGGATAGATACAAAGATAGATAGAAAAAGTAACAATCGACTAGGAATTATTGAATATGTAATAAAATATATAAACAAAAAGAAATATTTTAAACGATTAAAGATTCTTGAAAGGATATAATCTCGCACTTAAAAAATGAGATTTAAAAGTTTGGAAAACCATCTGACCTCTACTATAGTTTAAAAGTTTGGAAAACCATCTGACCTCTACTATAGTTTAAAAGTTTGGAAAACCATCTGACCTCTACTATAGTTTAAAAGTTTGGAAAACCATCTGACGTCTACTATAACGTTTGACAATTATGTTGCCTATAAAATTGGACAATGCAAAGGTTGACTGTAAAATTGACACTAAAAATGTAACTATTGGTTGATTTTATAGAATGTTGTCTTAAAGCGGTTTTAGAAGAACAACATTATGAATTTTTCTGCTAAAAACCATTGCTCTTCAAGCTGCCATTTTATTGTGAATCTATTTCGCGGATTTTTTGTAAATTCACATATTTTCAAAAATAAGAAATGTCGACATTTATTACCCCCGGGCACAAGTTTTTCTTCTTGTTCGATCCATAAACTTTTCTTTGGGTTCAATATGAGTTGCTATTAAAAATTGGGCCCGTTCGGTTCAGCTGTTCTAACATTCAATGAAAACAAACAAGCATATGTACATCCAAACATATATGTACATATGTACAACGAACAATAGATAGATAGATAGATAAAAAGTACATATGTACAACGAACAAAAAATTTTATGTATAAATATGTAGATTTTTGCTTAAATAATTTCTAGTTTATTTCTAAAAATCTTACTTTCTTCGTTCCCGATAAAAATATAAAAATTTCCCATGTCATCCCATTCAGAACGTTTGTTCTCCCTCGTAAACAAGTTAATAGTTATCAAATTTTATCCCCATGTAATTTTATGATTCTAAAAATTATTTAATGTATATAATGCTTAAATCATTTTACATATAATGCCACAAATTCTACACATTTTGTTATTATAACTAAAATTTTGAAAATGCGCAGGGACCGATCTTTGTAAAATTGTAAAATAGTAATAACCTTGCTATTTGTTATTGACCTTGTATCTGCAAA